ATACACAGTGTTTCAAAAAATGCATAGTTTATTGTATTATGATACATGAATAAAATTAATTATTATTGTTTTAAACATCACAACAATGTTTTATCAATACTATAAATAGATAGGTAATGATTATAATTTATTATAATAATAAAAATAATATAAGTTGGTTAAAATAAAAATGTGTGGCTTACATTGCCCGGTATTCCACATTGCCCGTAACATATAGAAGCTGTATGTATATTGTATATATATTATATACCAATATGTAATAAAAATGAATAAAGTAAAAATGTGGCAACGTCGCTTCCAATTTCACCCTCAGTCGTACGTTTTTGAACATTGAAGGGTCAAAATCTTGTCCTTTGTTATATTCCGGCACCACACGCAGTCGAATAACAAAAATGAATACATGTGCAGTCGCATTTATCGCTGCCTATATTAGAGGGAAAGATAAACATCCTCGTTCCAGTGCCGTGTCTGTAGGATTTATATTGTTGTCAATTGAGGAACATCTGAAACATTCCAAACCGAATGACCCAGGCCCGTCTCGGTCGCGCCTTCGCGTAGGTATATTAAATACATAATAATATATAACCTAATGCGTATATACTATATAGCAGGGGTGGCCAAATCACGGATCGCGAGCCGCATGCGGCTCTCGTCACAGTCGTATGCGGCTCGCGGTCATATTTACAAAAACCAAAATATTTTAATTTTTTTTGTATACATTTATAAAAAAATGTTTTTGTTGTATTTATTTAAGGCTTTAGTATTATAGTGGATAGAATATAGATTAAATCAAACAAAAAAAAAATTAATTAATATGAATAATAAATTAAAAAATTAAACATTAAGCTAATTTTGTTTGCATAGTATTTTTTTTCTTCTTCATATTTACGTTTAACCGCTTTTTTAGAAATTGACATCGTAACTGACTTTCGCAATAAGTATCGGTAAAATATTACAAATATAATTATTAAATATTACAAATATTTTACAAAACAAATTGAGGTGTTTACAGTAGGACTATTCAACACAGACTACAGACTATATTAAAAACGATATAATTTCATATTTCGTAATTTGATATGTTTATCGGCTGTTTGCTATCTTTATTACTTTTGTGGCATAAAAGTATACATTAGATAATTTGGCTCTTGATATAATTTTATTAATACATGTGGCTCGAGTACATAGTCATGTTGGCCACCCCTGCTGTATAGTATATAGGTACCCATATGCCATCTATTATGGACTTATGGTAATTATGATAAAATTATAAATGATATAATATTTTGATAATGAATTGTTGGTATTTTATAATACCCATCATACATGATAAAATCAAAAATGGATCATTGATGTTTACCTTTTTTCTTTAGACACAATCTGTAGAGCATAAAAAAGAACAAATCTTACACAATATGACAATTGATCATTGATGCGATGGTCTTCGTTTATTAATGATATTTATTTTGTTTTTTTTTAATAACCGATGAATATCAATTGTCAGTAAACAACGCAGCTTTTTTTCTTATTTATAACTCACTCATAATGAGTCTTTTAAAAATAAACTATAAATTAACTAAAACTGTGGGTACACACTAGACAGATTTTATAGGAAGGTACACACTTCATCACTACAGAATGCATACACAACGCACAACAATTATTTTGGAGCGACCTAAGTAAAAAAAAAAATATAGCCGCGGTACGACAGTGTATATTATTATTATCTTGAAGTAGGCCTGCTTTTGGAGTTGCCCATTTAAACAGTGCACCTTTTGGGTTTTTTTTAACTGGAAATAAATAATTATCTACTGAATCAATTAATACCTAATAAATTTAAAAAAATTTGCCCAATAATTTATTTACTTGGCTAGAAATTATTACGAGTAGAAATGCCTACTAAAATATTTTAAATTATAATGAACTTCTAATGCATCTTGTTTATTTTGTTCACGTTAGTCCGTAATCCGTATGCCACGTCATATAAAATGTATAATTTCTAGATAAGTAAATTAATTATTGAAACATTTGAAACAAAATAAGTGTACTTCAATGCAATTTACTTAGCATTTATTTATGATACCACATCAGGCACATCAGAGAGATTAAAGATCTATTTTTTTTTACTTAGCCGTTATTTACAAATAGTTCGACGAAGTGTTTTTGTTGTGGTTATAATATATAAATGAACAATTTTTGACGTTAGTGATTGAACGGGATATTATAGGATTCAATTATTCTCTTAACTACCTAGTTAATATTCGTGTGTTAGAATTTAAACCTAATGTACATTTCAAAACTTGTAAATTACAATAGTTATATATATTTATATATTTATATATGTTATATATAGTTATATATGTTTATATATTTTGTACTTGTTAGCTAATGTTATTATTTAAAGGCTGAAGTTACGTATTTCTAATAAATTGATGAAAAATTATTAATAGTCTATGCTACAAAATGTGAAAATTATTGTATTATTATTAATTGTAGGTTAAAAAACAACTAAAAAACTAATGTGGTTTTGGAATAAGTAACAGTTGCCAGTTTTCAACCAAAAATCTCGAAAATTACCTTCAATATATCTGTGTCTCTGAACCTGGGTATAGACTTTGTAGATACATCACATTTAAAAATAAACCTATTTTTTTAATAGGTTGCAATATGGTTAAAGTCACAGTTTTGAATATTTTAAAATAATAAATACTATTGTTATACAGGTACTATATTATTTTCGAATTATTTTTTTATTTTGTTTGAAAATTATGCATATTTTTTTTTATATGACGTTACATAATATATTTTACATACAATTTAATATATTTATTTAAATATGTGATAGTAAGTACATAATAAAATTAAATGTAATCGTATGTAATTAATTTATTATGTAGTATAATAGTCTGGCTTGACATAATAGAAGAGGATCTTACAACTGTGGGAGTAAAAGAATGGAAGGAAATTATGCAAGATCGAGAGAAATGGAGGGACATAGTGTTGGCGACAAAAACTCTAACAGAGTTATAAAAGCCAGTTATGATGATGATGAATAGTCTGTAATAACTAATAAGTAATTTTTGCTATTAAAAACTGGGACGCAACTATAGGCTGTCTAAAAAGATACTTCTAGACGCATGTAATATGGACTGGTCAATGAGTAATAACTAATATTTAATACTACACAACATACAGATAATACGTATTACGTAATATAACATAACAAATATGATCTATGAATTATACCTAAAGTTGCTCTTTGTGGATAATGGATATATCGTGTTTATTTCTACTTCAGAAATTAATACTATTTTTTAATTCGACAATACTATCCGTTTTTTATAAATACATTATTTTAATAGATAATTAATAAATGAATAACCCACACTAATGCGGTTCTCTGCAGTATGTCATGCAATTATTATTGTATTATACGAATTTAATACCTGTAAACTAAAATAATATAAAATATAAATCAATATATAATTTTGAGCTATTTTTATTTCTTTAATATATACCTGGGCAAACTATGCGTATAATTTATTTATCGTTATTCCAAGCAATATTTCAATATGGTTTGTTGGTCTGGGGGGTCTAAATGAATATGCGGTTAGACTGCTAAAAATACTACGAAGAAAAATCATTTGGATTTGTTTATGCAAAAATACTTTAGTGGACTCAACGGGAGAAAATTTTAAACTGTTCAATGTGTTACCATTCGAGTGTGTGTTTGAGAAAGTAACTATTGTACTAATAGTAATACAAAATGATGAAACATTTGTGGATATGGAAAATATAAGAAAAAAGAGAGAAGTAAGGGCATTTGATATGAATATAAATTACTGCAAAAAAATCATTCGGTCAAAAATACATTAGGGAAGGTAGATACTTCATGGTAAAATTTAAATAAATAAATTTGTTTTATTGATGTTTTGTGTACAGTAAATATTAAATATATATATATATATATATATATATATAAAATAAATCACAAGTACAAACAAACAAGATTTCAGTTTTCGTTTACGTGTGTGCTTTAGAACACGTCATTGTAAGTAGTTACGGTATTTTTATGGGTGAATATTTTGTACTTATTTAATACATCTACCGTCCCTTTAATCCCACCCTGCCCGAAGCTAACAACCTGGCTTGTATTGTATCTTTCTGGTTAGCTATTGAAAACTTGTCAGATATTATAAATTATGATGCCCCTTTGTCGGTTTCTGGTAATATTGCTGAAGGTTTTGACCTCATAGAGTCGTCTTTCAGTGGTATATTACACTAGGGGATTCCGGACTGTGGGTGGCATTAAAGGCCCGGGCACACAGAACGCGGTCTGTCGCGGCGAGCCGTGATATTGTATATGTATATATATGATTATCGCGACGGTCACGGTCAAATGATGTATTACAACCGGACCGCTACCCGCCGACACAGATCGCGTTCCATGTTTCCGAGCCTTAAGTCTTGAAATATTTATGTATTTTGTAATAGTATAAAATATTTAACATTAAACTACTATAAAAAAAAAATATATATATATATACATGAAAGAAAAGGTATATTTTATCTATAAATACGCATGGGGCATAGTGTTACACTGGTAAAAGGGTTATGGCATTAATTATAAATACTACACAGTTGGTCCCACCAAAATAATTGGGCAAAATTATCGGCTTCGACTGCACTATAGTTTATAAGAGGGCACCCGCTATGCTATCTCCGTCTTTAGAAGCGTAACATAGCAAATTAATGTTCTAAATAATCTATTTAACTCTAGTATGATTAATATTGGAGCAAATTGACCTATTATCAAATTAAGAGGTTAAGGGATAAACTGTTACGATGTTAGATACTAACTAAAACGTGATTATATGTTATATCATTTTTTTTTTTTAGTATTTGTAGTTTGTATACATTTAATTTACCTGTGTTTATTCAATTATACCAAGGTTTTTTTAAAAAATATTTTGTAAAAAATAGGTATGTTATTTAGTTACCAATAGATGACTAAGGTTCTTTTCCGGTAAAGGCAGTGTGCACATTTTGTTAACAAGGAAATAACACTGTGTATACATAGTAGGTACATTTTAAGTAAATATTCATCTTCAATGTGGATTAATTTAGTACCTATCTATTATAATTAATGATTGGACAAGGCTTGCAAGTTTTAACATATTATAAAAATGTATATTGACTATAACTCGTTACAGTTACAGTTGTTACAAATTGTTTTTTTTTTATTATTTAATAATTTATTACACTTTAGTGAGCTTAACAATACATTGTCGTGCATAAAAATAATATGTAAATATTTATAATATTATTTATTATAATGTTATATTACGCAAAATTACATAGTAAATAAAAAACATTAAGTCATTAATGATTCGTCAGATTTTCTTTTTTTTCCATGTTATGAATTACGCTTTTAAGATATTGCGTATAAATATTATATTATATTCATTAAAATAACGTGAATACAATTGTCTGAACTCGATTATGTCGTTAACTTAATATTTTTTCAAGAAATCTACGGGTATTTTTTCAAAATATGCCATACATTTTTTTTGAACAAATAGTTGTAAACCATTCATTAGAGTGTCAACATCTGGGGCTTAAATTATTATAAACATAAGTGATGCAACCGAAGGATCTGGATGGTTCTCGGATCTCGTATTCGCGACATGTGGCTCGCAAAAACTCCAACAACGCGGTCGTGGTGACATTCTGGCCATGTTTGGAAATCTTGTAATTCCAGGTAAATGAGTTCCACAAATTTCTAGTCACTGGGTCCAGCTTGTTGGAAATTAAATGAATCAAAAGACCACTCCATCGGTTCACATCCTGTGAGTCTAGCATCTGTAACACCCACAAGTGCAATACCAGTTTGTCCGTGAACTGTCCTAATTGAAGAGCCGACGGTTCTTCTGGCAGTGGCGCTAAATCATAAATTGACCTTGTATGCATCTTCATGATGAAATGCTGATCACTGTTGCATTTTTCTATGTATTCTACGAAATTTTTGAATTTATCTTGTTCTCTTGCAGCTGCAGCTTTCTCTACAGTATACCCGTTTATAGTGAACTTGTTTGAGTCACACGTCTTAAATAAGTTGGGATAATATTTTTCAAAATCACAGAGTTCATCTAAGTCAAACACCTCATCATTGGACTTGTCCAAATCAGACTCCTCTACTTCAGGCTCTTGAAGCTCCTTAATTTCGGACTCGTCTTCGGTTGAATTTCCTACAGCTGACTCAAGTACTGCGTCTTCAGTGGTCGTTGAATTCGCCGCCATGGTGGTTAGGTCGTGGGGCTTGTGGCCTACACACAAATAATATGGATTTATTAATTACATAATAAGACATGTAAATCTGGGTAATCGGTTGTATTATACATTCAATTACATACGCACACGCAAGTTTAAAACCAAATATAAACAGACTAAGGCCAACGTTTGTTGAGTTTTTTGTTATTTATGGATATTCTAAATGTTCAATTTTTAGATTCTGCGGAGCGTAGAGAATATGTATATCGTATTATTAGTGATGTGTGTGTTTTTTTTCTGTCATCGGCATTTAGAGTAGTATAAATACTCCAAATTTCTGATAGAAAAGTAAATGTAATTGGTGCGTTCAGGAGGTGTTCTAAAGCGTTCGAAGCCTTGCGGCCATGCCCCGGCCGACACTGAGCGTAATCGCACGATACGGATAGCAGTGATAATACGATTTATAGATTGCCCGATTTCTGCACTCGTCGATTTGGCAGTAGTCTATTAATCTATTAAATTTGAGTTTACTTGTTACAATGATGTGTGAGCATATCGTCACAATAATATTTATAATTTTAATTATATTACTAATTTTTTTTTTTATTAACTATAATTATCTTATCATTTTCTGAGCCAAGCAATTAATGTATCGTTTATAAAGTAATGCATTTATTTTTGTTCGCCGTTGAGATAATTATATTTTATACAGACAATGATATTGTCAAACACAATGTTTTCGGTAAAAACTAATCCAAACTTAAGTCGGATTATTATATTAGTAAAATAAATAAATATCTTTAATAGGTATAGTAATATATCTATCATATATTTATATTGTAAAATATACCTACTTAGAAATTAGTAATATATATACTCTGACAGACCCGAATCTTAGCTCAGAATCGTTTTACGGATGTAATGATTTATTATTGAACTAAAATTTCACTCATATACATAAAATATATATTGTACATTTTACTGTGGGGAATATACCTGTGGGTATATCAATTTTAATCTCGAATAGAAACATATATTATAAGTTATAACTATAATAATTATATAATATTGACGGAGAAACCAAAAAAATTAATTAATTACGTATTGATTTAAATTTTATTATTACATACCTATATGTATATAGTTATTAATTATATTCTGAATATTTTAAAACAACGATAATTAATTATATTACATATTACTGTATCTAATATTATGTATGTATTATTATCGTTACCTTCTATAATAAATTGTTTTGAAATATTCAGAATACAAAGTTTAACAAATAGACCTGACAAAAAAAAAAAAAAACGATGGTACCTTAACGTAGGATAAAATGTTATAACATTATATGAGTAGTAAATAATTTAAGAAATGTACCCATGTCGACAAATTTCCTAAAATTTTATTTAAAAAAAAGTTTTTACGTTCCAAATGAATTTAATCAAAAAACTATTGATAATTTAAAAAATTCTAAAAAATAAACTATTAGACTTAGATCCATGTTTTTACCATCAAAATTGTTCTTATAGTCAGATTCATAAATTGGCTATTTTAAACTTATAAAAAAAAAAAAATTAAGTTAAATTAAATTTTTTTTATATTTAGTATTATAAAGAAAAAATAATTTTTTTTACATTATACATGTAGCATAAGTGACTATAAATTATACATAAAAAAAAAATTCAAAATATTGATTATAACAAAAGTTATAGCATTAGTCAGTTCTTTCTGTTACACCCTGTATAATAGGTAATTAAGTAATAATATAATTGTAGTTTATACAAAACAAATATTTTTTTTTGTTTTTTCCATAAATATATTTATTGTTAAGATATATTATAATATTATTAGTGATTAATGATAAAAGATACAAAAAAAGTACTGCATAATGCATAAAATGTAATTTGTTTCTATTCGTGGTGCAATTTTACAGGGCAAGACCAAATTGATCATGCTTTGTATGCAATGCATATATTACCCGTAACATAATAAACATAATAATATGTATGAACATTATATTTTAAAAGTGCAACGACTTGCTCTTCAATTACTCGAAGTACACTCGACTGCATCTACGACTGTACAACATAGTGGTTACTTACTTAGTTGCTTTTTAATAGCCGTGTATTATTTGTATAAATGTATATGGTAGACTAAGACTGATATTTTTTTAATTTTACTGCATATAGGTACATAATTCTAATTTCTGTATTTAACAATTATCTACATTACTCTCAATAAATTCAGTATGAAGTTCTATATATCTAAAATAAAACCTCAGAGTTCAATATAATAAAATAAAAAATTATTTATAAGAAACTAATTTTTATTATTATTTTGGAAGTATTAAACTAATTTATATTGTATTAAATTTATAGGTATGTTACTGCAACTTAATGGTTAGTAATTATTATGGCAACACAATATTGAATAATATTATATTTTATGTTCTGATACATATTCTATTTACGTGGTATATTATTTTTAGTGAAGTTTATATGAATCACTATTCACTACATAATTCTATGTGGGAGGTACCTAATTTTAACTCATATATTATAATATATTATGAACTCTTTGACCATCCTATATACAAATGTGTGTATTAACATTATTATTTACGATAATAAGATGGTAGGCAGTTCATATTTTTTTGGTAGGAAATGTGCCCGTCACCGAAAGGCAATGACTTTTTTTATAATTTTCAACTGTATTAAAATATTTATTATATTAGATACCTAAGCACCTATAATTAGGTATTATAATAGTATAAATAATTCTAAACTGTAATAATAAAAACCAATAAAAAAAATAGTCAAAATCCTACGGCTCCTCTGTGTAGATACATTTCATGAAATATGATATTAGGTACAAACAATTTTCTTAGGTTAGGTTAGGTGAGTATTGTAAGTTTGTAGATGAACTTGAAGCTTCTAGATAATATATTTTCGTTAAGCCTCGTTTAACCTGCGGCTTGATGTGCGTTCGATGACTTTTTGTTTTTGAACTGAAAACCATACAAAGCTGTTAACTCTATCGATGCGTATTCGATCAAATGTAATTATAATAATACATATTATTATATTATGATGATTAATAATGGTTAAAATGAATAAATTTGAAGTTTTCACAAAAATAACGCGTTGGCAGCAGATATTATTCTATAGGATTCGCCTTGTGTAATATTAATTCACAACGATTTAAAACAGTTTAATTACAAGAAATGTATATTATTATATAAAGTGTTATGTTTCATGTATTATATAAGTTGTGTAATATAACGAATATAATTAATTACGATACGTTTGGGGGCGCGTCAGTAAATCTATATGGAGTAATCATGCATCGTACGATTGCCGAGGTGACATGGGAATTTATTATATATTTATTGCTGTACCTGCGTACAGGAGAATAATCCATAATATTATAATTTATAGCCCATGTCGAAAACAAAAAAAAGGTAAAAGACGTAATAACACAGACGTGTAATATTATGCCTGTTACAATATTCCCGTCTTACCGCCGCCGTATAACAAGGGGTGAACAAATTAATTTTTTATTGCGTTTTGTATATTATATTATATTGTGTTTGTCCGTTTAGTGTGAGCCTAAAAATAATGATTGCGAGGGACCGTGTCACAGGTAGCATCCTGGAGCATCCCGAGTGGAAACAATATGCGAGTCGACAATATTGATCGTACAACGAAAAAGGCAGGTATTCTGTGTATTATAAAAGATTAGTAAAAAACACGAGTTGCTATCGCGTCTCATC